CTCCATTGGAATCTGATGATACCCACATGTTAAGTCAATGGAGCACATCCAATGGCAAGTCAATACACCCTTGTTGAACTTAATGACCTCAACCTCAGTCCATGTGGGTCCAAATGCTTAAATATTTTCCACAGTATTATGTGACATTGTATTCTTTATGTTACACCTAAAAATGATTCATTTTGTTCATGGGGATATCATAATGGAAAGTGCACTAGACCCTTTGCTACAGCAACTTTTAATAATATTCATTAATTTACCTGATAAAATAGCTTAATATAGGTTGTTATATTACAATGAAGGCATGAAAGTGGAACCTAAACTTTAAAACCCTCACATTCTGAATTTTAAAACTGAGGTGCATGGAAAGATCTTGATGTCTTGAAATAAAATGGTATAGTAACAAAATATTTATGTGAAAAATATCCCATCTCTTGTGTGAGTCAGAGATTGAGACCATCTTCTTTTTAAAGTCAAAGATGGATCTAAAAAGGTCAGGTGCTATGTATTGGGTCCCCCAGCATATAACTTAAACTTACAGTATATGTTGATCTTTTCATCCAGTCTCCCTTCAGATCATTCCTAATATAGATGGTACCAGAGGTTCTGTTTATGCCAAAGAAAATATTAGCTGGGAATATTCCTGTCAATTCATACACTTGGTCACCCTGAAAATAAATAGATACTTCATACACATTGTACACATTTATATTCTGTTTTATGAATGACACCATGAAGGAACAAGGCTTTAACATGCAAAATGTCACCATCTGCACTTTGATACAGATGCCAACTGCCACTTGCAAACAATATTTGTGGTGACAGCAAATTATTTGGAAACTGACAGTCAGTTCACACGTTATGAGGTATATACAGGGTGGTCAAAAAAAACGGAACCCCTGCATTTTCCTCATATCTTGTGATTTAAGAAATTACTCCCTGATATTTCACACATTACTAAATCATTCAATTTTCTACCACCCTACTATATTTCATGACCATCAGACTGATTGTCACAATTTTACAGCACTTTGAACAACATGCTTCAGGTTTGGCCATAATCGCGCTTGAGGCAAACCTGCACAGCTGTCAATGATCCAAATGCATTCCTCAGCAGGTATGGCCTGAATGATACAGATAATCTCACTTTTGAGGTCTGCAATTGTCCTGAAGTCATTATTATACACTCTATCTCTGCCATATCCCCATAGGTAGGGACATTTTGGACGACATGTGCATGTTGGTCTTCAGCACAATAGTGGCCACCGGGAATGTTCTTTAAAGTGCTGTAACACGGTGACTATCAATCAGATGGTCCTGGAATATAAGCCTATAAAATTTGAATGAAATCCGTCAACCGTTATTTGAGTTATTGCCCGGACACAAGAACGGACGGACAGACGAACGGACGTCATTTGTTGTTGCTGCATTGGTTTCTTCATTCATTTTCTTCTTTCTTTGTCTTGATTTGATTGCGATGTTGCTTATCTTTCTTCAGGGTCCACAGACTTGAGACTGCGCATATAATTTGAACCAAATCCATCAACTGGTATTTGAATTATCAAAGGTTACAATGGCGGCCATTTTGAAATTTAGCTGCCATCTTGATCCCCCTCAAACTTCGTTCAGAGTTAGGAGTTACCTAGTTAAACGTTTAGCTGCTCAGAACTAGCAATCTACCCATTCGAGTGGGTCACCAAGGGTCCATAACAGCTCCACATGGCAACAGCTCCCATCAAATGCTCGTCTGTATTGATCGTTTGACCTTAATATGACCTTGGCCAAGAAACATTGACTTTGACTTCAGGTCACTTAATCATGAGTCACTGAGGGTAACAGTATCCTTCAAGTAAGTGTCGAACTTTGTTCTTGAGATCTTGACAAATATAATGTTGACCTTAACCCTAAGGTCACCTAGTCATGGGTTGCCAAAGATCACAACAGTCCACCAGGCTCTTAAAACACCAAATATCTAGATATCAACCTTTGATCTTGGTATGACCTCAGGTCACGTAATCATGGGTCGACAAGGGTCACAATAGCCCTTAAGGTACTTACTTAGATAGTAACCCTCGACCTTGACCCATGAAAATTGACTTTGACCTTAGGTTACTTAATCAATGGTCGTCAAGGGTCACAGCAGCCCCAAGGACGTAACATCACCACATATCTAGATATTGACCTATGATCTTGGAATAACCATGACCTCAAGTCACCTAATCAGGGGTCGCCAAGGGTCAAAGCAGTCCCAAATGCATTAAAACGCCAAATACCAAGGTATTGACCTCTGATCTTGGAATAACCTTGACCCGTAAATATTGACCTTGAACTCAGGTCACCAAATCATTGGTCACCAAGGGTAAAAGCAGCCCCAGAAATCTAAAATTTCAAAATACCTAGATATTGACATTTGACCTAGTAATGACCTTTACCTCAGATCACCTTATCATTGGTCGCCAAAGGTCACAACAACCCCAGATGCATTTGATCTGGGAATGAACTTGCCCCATAAAGTTGACCTTGACCTCCGGGCACCTAATCATGGGTCGTCAAGGGTCTTAAAAAGCCAAATACCTAGATATTGACCTTTTACCTTTATATGACTTTGACCTCTGATCTTCGTAGAATGTCCACCAATCCACTTAGTATGTTGACCAAGTATGGGAGCTCAGGGTCAAACGGTCTAGGCGGAGGAGATGTCTGGACAGACAGAGAATGACAGACAGACCACCATACTTCATACATGCTGACCCAATTTGTACCCTAATAGGTATTAGGGTATTAGTGTTGTGTTTATAGCCCCTAGTTGGCCTTAGAGAATATCCTTGAAGATCCAAAATAGTGGAACCATAAAAGACTAAAGACAGATCTACATCTTTTGGTTCAGAGTTTTAACACAGTTGACAAAATTCAGTTCTTTTGTATGGTTATGAAGATTATGATAATTCATTAAATGAAAAATTAATAGAACTAATGAACCATTTTGTGGATCAAAGTTTGAGCCAAATTGATTGGTTTGGCTAATTTTTGCATGCATGTGTTAACTCATCCCTGGCCCATGGGATTATAGTTTCTTATATGAGTTATAACATTACTTAGATGAATTTTTAAATGTTAATGCATTCCTATTCATATTGTCTAAAATTGCCGCTAATGTTTTCTATAAAACTTTGGCAATCAATTGCATGTCTATAATTGTTAACTAAAGGAATAAATCTAAGTATAAAAAAACCCAAAAAACACAAAGACAGTTCCTTGAAGGAGGGCCTTCGTTTTTTCAATGATGGAAACATTAGGTCCAAATAAGACTTTAATGATTTCCATACATATGGTGGTGTCTGCATAGAAGGTCCTGATTGGCATTTAGAATCTTCAGAATAAGGGACAGTGGCTTCATAGAAGGGTTTTCGTAAAACACCGACCGCCGACCACCGACCAGTCACTCTCCACAGTTGGGTACATGTGGTCGGTGGTCGGCTGACGGTCTTTTACATAAAGATGAAAAAATGCAAAATTAGAAGTAAAACTAAAACTGGGAATCCAATGACTATAGTACCTTTACTAGGTCGAGATTTAAAAACGTATAATTATCATTTCAAATCACGATGAAAACGTTACATCGTCGTGGTGTGTAATGTCATATTTTTAAGTGATGTTTCAGTTGCTAGAAGACCAATTTCATCCTGGTTAGTCACTTTGGAAAAAAACGCACGTAACATTAAGTTCATTCTTCATTCATATGAAACGCAATAACAAAAACACACAAACATCGTCGATGTTGACGTCGTAACGTTATGTTTGATTTCTCAGTTGTTAAACGTCAACTGGTAAAAACTACATTTGATATGACAAAAAAAGCTTTCTAATGGTGTACTGAAATGGTAAGTCACTTTTAATCCCGATAAGAGAACGCATGTAACATTATATCGTGTTCAGTATTCAGTAGGCTATGACGATAACAAATCATTTTTGTTTCGAAATTGTTAAATTTCAGTAAAAAATTAGGATAGATTCCCGTAGAAACGATAGGTTGATTAATGATAGATTAGGACCTAAGGCAGGACAATTAATCGAGAGGAGACGGTCATGACCAATTTGTTTGCTTGCCATTCGTTGCAAGGTACAAAATCGGTAAAAAACGTTGCCTAGTCCAACGATTGACATTCAAAATCAAATTATTAATATTCTAAGGCTACAAATATGTTCGGTCTTTTACATGATATGGTCGTCAAACCCTGTTTTGAGGCTACCAGTGGAAAACACCGACCGGTCGGTGGTCGGTGGGGTCGGTCTTTTCCATAAACCCTTCATAGAAGGTCCAGTACCAGCACAACAGTGATTTCAAGGAAGACTCTTGTAGATTACTACATGGTCATGGTTGTTCCATAGAAGGCCACAGTGGTATCCCGTCAATCCATAGTAGTTCGCATTTTTGTTCCATAAAAGGCCCTATCCCTGGTTGTGCCTTGATAGACAGTGTCCTTAGCTAAAATAATTCCCATTTAAAACATAGCAACTCCTTCAAATAGGCGATGCCAGAACCAGAATTTGATTTATATAAACACAGTATTCCTAACTTGATTGAATGATAAATTCTCATGAAATCATTCTTTAAATTTGTTGATTGTATACAAATTAAATAGTTAATTATTTTTTTCACAATATAAGATTGATACTTATCCAATAGTCGACTACATGAAAAGAATTCTCAAATAATCATGAATTTATTGAAGGAATATTTTCGCAGACTTTTTGAGGTCATGTGACCATGCTGTAGAGTATGTGAAGTTATCATGGATGATTGGCTCATGGAGTGCAACATTGATATTTTTGCCATATATAGACATGTCGAGATTTCAAAATTTGAAGGCTGAACCAAAGTAGAAATATGCATTAGTTTCTCATTTGTACGCATTTCAATAACAAAAATATTTATAATCGACTTCACAAAAAATAATTCTTGTGAAAAATTATCTCTTACAAATACAGCTCGATGGATTCCGAAAGTGGAATAATTAGTATTCACAAAATTGATATACGAGGGGGTCCAAAAATTTTGAACGCCCTGCTATTTTTTTAATAAACATGAAACTTTCAAATCATAAAGAACAATTTATAAGTTTTACCGAAAAATAATTTATTTTGGGTACTTTTCTAAATAGTTTTTAATAAGGAGACCAAGCCAATCGGAATTAATGAATATAATTATTTCTTAATCACGCCCATGTCTAAAATGAGTAAAACAGTTTAGTGCAACTTTAAAAAACACCAAAAGTTGTAAATCATTTATTATAATGACATCACAATAGGAGTATTTACTTAAATTAGTGACTTTAATGTTTATAAAGCTTTGTCTGATATGAGACATACATGACAACATACTGTATGTACTGAGGAAAACACTTTTCTTGCGACTTTCAGACTCATCGATCAGGATAAAAAGTTGTTCCACCTCTCCCGAGACTAGCATAAAAGATGTTAGTCTCAGACCTCTCATACAGTATTTTGTGTCTATAACCACTGATACCCCAGATTCAAAAGCATGAAACCACGGCATAGCTTGATCTAATCATGTTGATTTACTTATCATAATACTCGTTATTGCACTAGCTTTAATTTGATATCCATAAAGTGCATATTCTTTTGCAATTGTAATCATGGAAGATATCAGTTTCACGGAGACCATGTAAAGCAAACTGTTTCTCATTTGAAATCCGCTATTGTGATGTCACAATAACACTTTAAAATTTAGTATATAGAATCATTTAGTCATTATAGTTCAGGATTGATAAAAATTGGTCATTTCCACACAATTGCTATTAATAAAATATACATATTTGGATCACTGGCTGGAAATGCCCATTCCTATACGTATTTCAATCTTATTAAGGATACCTATTGCTCAACGCCCGTTTCCATGGCAACGGCACCTGTTTAAACACTAATCATATATCACACATCATAGACAGTTGTCAAAGCTTTGCATTGATACTAACTTTTCTCATAGGGTCAAAATACTACTAAAGTTATGATATCAATAAGCACTGCGTGAAATATGGGATTCCAACTCTTGACACGTCTAGAAACTGGTCTTTACACGCCGGGTTTCTAGACGTGCCAATTATTTACACCTCTTGACACGCGATGAATTCAACTCTTTACACCTCTTTGCACTTCTTGGCACACGCAGTGCAAAGACGTGTAAAGACCATGTCAAAAAGTCTTTACACGCCCTGTGACAATTAATGGAATCTCTTGACACGCTCTTGGCACACTGAACAACATAATTATGTGTAAACAACTAACCTAATTACCAATAGCAATACATACAGTATTTTAACGATTGCAAGTATTTTCTCTGATACTTTTAATTGATATATTTTTTAATCATTCTTTCGCAGACTGTTTGGAACAAGTACAGGGTGTCCAAGAAGTAACGTCAATGACCCTGGCATTTTGTCATTTATGCTTCAAATGTCATGAGACTTGGTCAGAATGTTCCTTGCACATTTATACATATAAATACGAAGTATGGAGTGACTGGCATTTGATTGGCCGATTTTATGGTTGCCATAGTAACACAAGTGCATGAACCCCGGGGCAGTTCAGAATGTACCTGGTAAATATTATGTAAATCAGGTTATCATAAGGTAAAACCTTTGGCAAAAAATGAAATGCAATGTCTTGGGACTTTTTCAAATCTTAACGGTTTTATTGTTAATGGGAGTTACCATGGTAACACTTCTTTGGAGTACTTTATGACATCATAATATGACGAGACCTGAATAGAGCAATGAAGAGAAAAAGACCTGGATTGCGCCTTTCACTGCACTGGGACAATGCCCCCGTTCACAAGGCCAGGAACACCATGGAAGTAATTGAGATACTAGGAATACCCCTAATTGAACAAGCTCCATATTCGCCTGATTTGGCCCCAGTGACTTCTATCTTTATGGTGCACTGAAGGCTAAACTTGCTGGACAGTCTTTCTCTTCAAATGAGGAACTTAAGAGCTCTGTTCTGTCATCCCTTGCAGAAATGAGCTCTGGTGGTTTCAATAGAGTTTTCTTGGAATGGGTAAGAAGACACCAGAGATGTGTGGAACTTGGTGGTGATTATGTAAAGTAACATTCAATAAACTTTAATATAACACTAATATAACGCCAGCAACAGCTATATTATGAATAAATGATGTGTAGTTGAAAACATTATATTTGTGGTCATATTATAAATAAAAGATGTATACTTCAAAACTAGTGTTTATGGTTATTTTATTTTTCAAAGATCTTACGGATTGCAGAGCTGCCCCGGGGTCCATGCACTTGTGTTACTATGGTAACCATAAAACCGGCCAATCAAATGCTAGTAGCTCCATACTTCATATTTACATTTATAAATGTGCATAAATGACAAAATGCCAGGGTCATTGACGTTACTTCTTGGACACCCTGTACATGTAGCAAATATTAAACAGACTATTTTGTATGTACGCTGACACATTGACTTATTTAAACATTTTGGCAATTTCATGCCGCCTTTTGAAGATATAAATCAGTTACAGGCAATGCTAATCGACGCATTGATCCTAAGTGAAGGAAATACATATCATGATAAGAAAAAGAAAGGCGTTTCAAGGATAAAACGTGCAATAAACTTTGAAAACACTGATACATCAGGCCTATTTATATATTTATTTTGTATTAGCTTAATATAAAGATAACCTTACTTTTCGATGAGTATTTGGATTTCGGAGTAATTTGTTTCAAGTTAAGTCAATACAAATTATCGCCGACTTAACTTGTGACCATACATATGATAAATGAGGGGCATTTTAATACACAATTGGGCAAAACAAGCATATTCAATCGAATGTACCATTCTCTCTGCTGTTCTTTCCCAGCCTATCCATAAACAGACAGGTACAAGTTCCCATAGTTTTCGCAACATCTAATTCTATGATCGAGCAAATATACTAATTAATTGTCTGATTGTGATTCGGGAACGTAGGGTTTTTACATAAACAGGATACTTGGCTGTACATAGCCTGAGAACACTGGATTGACCCCCCCCCCCAATCGACGCCTAGGCGCTGCTTATGTTTTAATAAGAAACATTCCCTTGTAAAGAATTATCGGGATATGAATTGATACAAGGTCAAGTATTCTGCCCCTTTTGTGTGATAAAAATATGTATTTAATTGGTGCTTTAACTTTTTGAACAAAGAAATGAAATAATCGCACTGAATGTCTCAACATAAATCAGTGATGTTTAATTAATAAATGACACTATTATGTCAGTCTACGCACTTCATGAGCATGGACGGGGGGGGGGTGAGTTACCCATTCTAAAATGGTTAAATTTTGTATTAAAGAGTAATCAATAGGTCGTGAACTCCGATTGATAACCAACTGTAGCATACTGCTTAATTTGTTTGACTATTGATATTAAAAAGGAGTGAATTTATGATATTGATAGAGGTACATTGTATTGGTAATAATATAATAATGATATTGGGGACCATAAACCACTTTGTTTCGCAAGTAGCTTTAGGATCGCGGTTTTATCTTCACATGTTGCCCTTTGTGCAATTCGAAAATGAAATATTTTAATCTATAATTTATATATCATTTGCAAAATAAATGTAATTAAGGGACATGGGGGAAGGGGGGGGGGTTAACGGCCAGAATTTGGAATGAATTTGGGAATTTCAAGGATTGATTCACTTAATGTTGTTCACTGGAGTCGATACACACACCTGCATAACAATCGGAGACAAAACTGACTTAATCTGATATGATAACAAAAGATTAATAACTTAGTCTATGTTTTTGTTTTTATAATTGCGGAAGTGTACCAAAACCACCTTGATTACAGAAGATATCGTCTAGGCTTTAGATTTAATGAATAGATTTTTTGCCCTAGTCTCATTTAATAAAACAGGCTATTTGCGTATTTAATTAATATTTGTGACAAAATATTTCAGTTAGACTCAAAATCAAAACGAATTTCTCCATTATAGCCCCTCTTGCAACTGTCCCGAGTCTGCATCTGTTTTTCATGCTTCCGATCCACCTTTGGGATAGAGAGAATAGATGTAGATTTGTAATTTTGGGGGGGGGGTGGCATTAAATGTGTTCTCATACAAACTATAATAAACCCCAAAAAGCCATATCAAATGTCCAAACACAAGACCAATGCCATGTCAAACATCCAAATATAGAACCAATGCCATACCCCCGGGTACCAAATATCAAGAATATAAGACCAAGGCCATTCGAAATATCGAATGCCCCGAGAAGAAGGCAGATCTTTGAGTAAAATGATCATAAAACAACCTCAAATGAAGGATATGTGTAACAACTAGACCAATGCCCCGGGACCAATGCCGTACCACAATTGAGGGGTAACATATTTTCCACACCGATTCTTATACCTGAAAATGAAAAAATCTGTCTTAAAATGTGGGTCCATTGGCTTGACATACCAAATGTAAAAAAGGTACCCCACCTGAGCCGAGTGTGAACCCCCGGGGTGAATGGTCAACACACGGGGCAAGGAATTCTTCGATTTTGATTCAAGTAATTTTTTTATAAAATTCATACGCATGTTAATAGCGGACGCCTTGGCCAAATAATCTTTCAAATCATGCACTTTCCAAGTGATTTTGTAGCAAAATTGTGATAATATATGAACCCCTTGGAATTATTCAAAGACGGACCCCCGCCAGCCCATCCCCCATTCTTACCTATGCTAAACACTAAGATAAACATATAGAATGGTATCTTACACTTTTTTCTAAATGTTGATATCCAAAAAACATATCTTTTTGGTTTATCAACACATACCGCTCACAATATAACAAGTATACAGATTGTAACATAGATAAGCGAATTGGGGAAAATTACAATCCCTTTGATCAAATTATTATAAGATTTAACCTCCAGCTGAGGTGCAATCAAAATGTTGATACACATAATTAGCAGTCAGAAAGATGCTCTTACCACTGTAGTTTTCAATATTCCCTTTGTTGTAACATCTTATTTCAAAAGAATGGATATTGATGGTTGTATGGAAGTATTCATATCAAACATTCACATTATAGTTTACAGTGGAATTCCCTCCATAAATGCAACATATTTACCATTTAAGATTTCATATTGGACTTTCCGCATAATGATAAAATGTTGACGATATAATTTTCGATAAAACCCCAGGACCGTAGCCAGCTTTCAGTCGGGGGGAGGGGTGATGCAATCACCAAAATTTTTTAGGTTTTCAGTCGGGGGGTGCGATCGTGACATAAATGAGGCAAAAAATATTTGTTTTGAATTTTTACGAAAATGATGCAGCTTCCTTCAAACCTGAGCTAGAAGCTTCAAACAAAAAATCAATTTAATGCTCTTTTCTTCCTCTACCTTATGGTACCTTTTATTGCTTGTAGGAGGGGGTGCGAACCCACCGCTTCTCCTCGTTACGCTTATAAACCCAATAACGTATTCCCAAGGAATCGACTTTATTAATTTATATGTGAAAAATGAGCTTGCATGTACAAATTGCATCGTATGCAAACCTTCCCCTGACCGACCTGGTCATGTTTATGTCTTTTGAATGATGTCTACCCCTTGATGCATGCATCCTTTAATAAGTGGTGTTAAGAATATTGGTGTAGGCCCTGGTGAAGGGATATGTCATAAAGATTTCACGTTATCGCGATATACATGTAGCCGCGTCCCCTTTGTCTTTATCCTTCCAAACGCAAACGGCAGATAAGAGGGGTTCTTAGTGATTGATCTGATGCTTAATAAGCCACTTACAAGATACAGTTTTAAATATTGATATTGTGTAAAGTTTTAACACATAGGCGTAACCAGGGGGGGGGGTGCGATTCGTGAATGATCGCACCCCACCCCTGCTTAACCAATAGAGAAGGAAGAAGAAAGGAGCTTTGAATGGCTTTCATTTGAAAATTCTAGTTCAATTTTGAAGGAATTTGCAATGTCTGGTTCACATTTGCTCAAATTCATCGTCCGG